CTGCAGTCCTCTGTGGCAGGAGTGTGCACTGGTTTCGAGAGGCGCACCCCAGCCAGGGGGAGTGGGGGAGTCTAGGCGCCCCCGCACGGGAGCGCATCAGCCGGCGCGCACCCGCGTGGAGCGGTTCCGAGGGCCCAGAGCAGTGTCTTGCGCTAGTTAAGCGTTTGTGTCCAGGGCAGAGGCCAGTTCGCCGCCTGTCACAGAGGTTCCCAGGGCGGCCCCCAGCCGCGCGCAGCGAGGTCACCTGGAGACCTGACGGAAATGCCCATTATTGGGATCCTCCTCGGATCCACTCCATCCAACTCCAGGGGTGGAGCCCAGCGGTCTGCTGGCTTTTGTTTTGCTTTGCTTTGTTTTGTTTTGCTTTTTGTTTCTCTATTGATTGATTTGAGAGAGAGAGAGAGAGAAACATCTGTTTGTTGTTCCACTTATTTATGCTTTCATTGGTTGATTCTTGTGTGTGCCCTGATTGGGACTGAATCTTTTTTTTAAGGGGTTTTATTTTTTTAAAAAGATATTGTGTGTGTGTGTGTATTTTAGAGAGGGAGGGAAGGAGAGGGGAAGAGAAACATTGATGTGAGAGACATCAACTGTTTGCCTTCCCACGCACCCCAATGGGGGATTGAACCCGCAACCTGGGTATGTGCCCTGACCAGGGGATCCAACTGGCAACCTTTCCGTGCAGGGGCCCATGGGCCCAGCANATTTTAGAGAGAGAGGGAAGGAGAGGGGAAGAGAAACATTGATGTGAGAGACATCAACTGTTTGCCTTCCCATGCACCCCAATGGGGGATTGAACCTGCAACCTGGGTATGTGCCCTGACCAGGGATCCAACTGGCAACCTTTCCGTGCAGGGGCNCGCACCCCAATGGGGGATTGAACCCGCAACCTGGGTATGTGCCCTGACCAGGGGATCCAACTGGCAACCTTTCCGTGCAGGGGCCCATGGGCCCAGCAATCTGTTTTGACAAGCCCTCCTGGTGCCTCTGATGCACACTAAAATTTGAGAACCATCAACCCACTACTCTACATGCTTTTCTACCCAAAAGCTTTCTCAAGGGAGTGGGCCAGGGTGGATTAAAGTTTTTAGTCGGCATGTGCGCGCATGCTCTCTCTTGCTCTCTCGTTCTCTCTTTCTCTCTCTCTCTCAGGAGCACATCCGAGGCTTTCCCTTCCCCCTCTCCCTTTTCCTCCCAGGCACATTACCTCTGCCTTTCTCTCTCCTAAGCTCCAAGGGCCCTTCTACTACCTCTGTAACTTTCTAAATAAAATTTCTCTTATAATTAAAAAAAAAAAATTTGTAAGGGGGAAGAGCAAGATACACCTGTCCCCAGAAGAGTAACAAAGTGAAAGATACATGAGGAAGGTCACTATCAAGTTTAAACAAACTATACAACACATTGGGTACCCAGCATCTCCCCCCAGATCTTACCAGTCCGTCTGCCTGGCAAATACGGAGCCTTTCTGACCAATCTGCCCCCAGAGACCTCCGTAATTTAAGCGCCCCTAAAAAGCTTGTCTTTACTCATGTTCGCTCTGCACTGTTGGTGATCTTGTCCCCACTCCTCTCTCTGCCCTGTCACCTTAAGAGGATGTTTTCCAAGCCTCTTATTTCCAGCCCACTTTCCTGAGCTATAGAACCAAATATCCAATAGCCTGTTCAGACACTACCCCTAGGCTTCCTGCGTCATCCGTTCAACTCACCCTTCTTTCCTGACATCAGGTCCCTTCAGGGCCAGGCCCTTTCCTCGCGCCGGAGGAATCTGCCTGGAGCTCGCTGCCTGCCTTTGAACAACTGTTCGTCTGTGAAGACAATTCAACAACTGCCCATCTTCTTCCTGCTTCAGAAACTTTCATTGACTTTCTGCTGTTCCTTCTCTTCCCCTGGGTTGACTTGACCACTCCCCTTTTGCACCAAACTACACCTTTTATAGATGTCCGCTGCCGCACATTTAACGGTGGAGTCATAGCACATGAGCATTTCACTTACCTGCCGTCTTCAACCACATAAACTTCGCAAAAGCAAATCAAAACAGCTCTGAAGGTCATCAGATGCTCCAGAATTCGTGTGAAATAGGAGCCATTATGCTCCTCATAATGTGAACATTCCATTGCCTCAGAGTCTCCTTTCTGCACAGTTGGAGCAGTCATTCCGTCCCCCAGGGAACGCTGTGCAGTGTCTGAAGGCATTTCTGGTCGCCAGGACTGTGGTGGGGAGGTGTGACTAGAGGCCAGGGATGTTACTAAACTTTCTACAATACACTGGACAGCCCCCTACAACAAATAATATTTCAGCCCGAAATGTGAATAGTGCTGAGGATAATAACCCTGGATAACCTTTCTAAAGAATAAATTAGGCCATAACATTCCCTTGATTAAACTCTTCCAATAGCTTCCCACTGGAACCAGAATAAAATCCAAACTTCTGGCCGTGGTATGTTAGGCCCTGTGTAACCTGGTCCCTGCCTACCTCTCTGACCTCATCCCTCTTCAACTTCCCCTCAGTCACCACATCTGGTCAAAGCTTGGTCTTCTGTCCAACATGCCAAACTTGTGCCCAAACACACCAGAGGTTCTCTGGATCTCTGCACTTGTTATTGCTTCTACTGGGAATGTTCTTCACATTTTGCATCATCTCAGATGTTATGCATCTCCTCAAAGAGGCAGCTATTCCCTAAATATTGTTACATTAACTGCCTTCGACACCGCTACCAGTTATATGGCTCATTACTCTATTTAACTTTCTTTATAGCACTTAACAAATCTGAAATTCTGCATGTTAACTGTTTATTTCCCCCTACTAGAATGTAAGCTACATGAGAACAGGGATATCTCTAGAGTCTAGTAATAAATGTTCAATAAATATTTGATTGACTACAACAGGGCCCCCCAAACCCTAGCAAACTATTTCATCTGGTAATCAACTAAGTAAACAGATTTGTTTCCAATACTGGTGGAAAAACTGATAAGACTGTTGAGATAAAGAATCCAATGTAGTGTTATCCTAAGGGATTTTCAATGTAGTTTTGAAAATACAGGTTTTTCTTTTCACTTCATCTGCTGACTTTAGAAATACAACTATTACATTGCCCTTGCTATGTCAGTCTTCTCCTGTTAAACTGTAAACCCTTTAAGGGCAAAAGCCATCTTAGAATCCTCAGCATTTAGCATGAAGCTAGGTATTTAGACTCTTACATACTATCACCACCATTCAACTAAGTTGAAATATTTTTTAAAAATGTATTACTTCGTTTTTTAAAATGTTTTTATTGATTTTAGAGAGAGAGGAAGGGAGAGGGAGAGAGACACACATTGATGGGCTGCACCCCAACTGGGGATCGAGCCCTCAACCTGAGCATGTACCCTGCCTGGGAACTGAACCTGGGACCTTCTGGAGCACAGGATGCTTCTCAGCCCACTGAGCCACACCGGCCAGGGCTAAGTCGGAAATTTTTGTGTCACCTGTTACTGTGTGGTTTGCGTCTCCTGATTAGACTCTAATAGGTTTATAAATAGGTTCATCCATCACAATCAGTAACCAAACCCTAAAGATTGTACTTTCATGTTCTATCTATAAAATGTCATCGTCTATTTATTTACTGTACTTATTATAGATAGAAATCATCTCTTCCTTTCCATGCCCACTTAAGCTGACACCTGCATTATCTCATCTGAACCACAATAGCATCTCAGTTGGTTTTCCATCATTAAACCATCTTACGCTGTACTGCCAGTTCATGTTTATGTTACTGAAAAAAATTCAAAGTGCTATGCACTCAATAGTTACCAGTTAAGATACATGATTTATGGATATTTTTTCCCGTTCTTTTCATTTTCTTGATGGTGTCCTTTGAAGCACAAAGTTTGAAACTTTGATACAATCTAATTTGTCTGTTTTTATTTTGGTTGCTTATGCTTTTGGTGTCATATCTAAGAAATAATTACCCAATCCAACTTCATGAAGAGGTACCCCTTTTCTTCTTAGAGTTTATAGTTTTAGCTTTTTATATCTTTGATCCATTTTGAGTTCATTTTTATATACCGTGTGAGGTGAAGATCCAACTTCATTCTTTTGCATGTGGATATTCAGTTGTCCCAGCACCATGTTAAAAAGTCTGTTCTTTCCCCATTGAATTGTTTTGGCACCCTTGTCAAAAATCAATATAATGTAAGGATTTATTTCTTGATTTTCAATTTTATTTTATTGCTCTACATGTCTATTCTATGCCAGTACCACACTGTCTTACCATTCTTTGAAATGATTTTTGAAACAGGGATGTGGATGTCCTCCAACTTTGCAAACATTCTCATTTAACTTTTTTTTTTAAATCTTTATTGATTTCAGAGAGAGGAAGGGAGAGGGAGAGAGATAGAAACATCAACAATGAGAGTCATTGATCGGCTGCCTCCTGCACTCCCTCTGCTGGGGGTCGAGCCCGCAACCCAGGCATGTGCCCTGACGGGGAATCGAACCGCATCTCCTCCATCCTAGTTCGATGCTCAACTGCTGAGCCATGCCCGGCCGGGCTCTCATTTAACTCTTAATGAAACTCTGGGTACTAGACATTATCCCCATTTTACAAATTAAGGAAACTTGAAGGAGCTTAGCTTTTCCACAGGCACAAAAGACTTCGTGGTCACCCCAGGATTCATACTCAGATCTACATAAAACTGACCCGTTGGCTATGCTCCTTCTATAATCTGGTCTCAATCTACCTTTCAGACTTAATTTATGCTAATCCCCCAATGCACCCTAAAATATCTCCCATGCTTTTCTGCCTCCTAACTTCTGCTCCTATTATTCCTTCCATCTGAGTGCCCTGCCCTCCATCTGTCTCATAAAATTCTAATTCACACAACCTTCACTATCACTCAGCAAAGTGATCCCTCTTTTCACTCTGTTTCCTTAGCACTACAAGCCTCTCTCCAATTTTTATTTCACATTACATCCTGTAATAAAGATATCTATGCATATGTATTATTTCTCTTCCTAGGTTAAGAATAAGGATCATGTCTCATTCAACTTGGTATCTCCCCTAAGTCCTAATCCAGGACCTTTTACATAATAGATACTAACTAAATGTTCTGAATGAAATTCTGCCACTACCCTATCAGAGTGGGCGATAAGAATGTGTAGGTGTGTGTCGGGGTTCGGGGTGGGGCACTGAGGTGCCGGCAGGCCTGCAGGAACGAGCACCCAGGGAATATCCTCGCCCTGAGAGTGACAAAAGAGGAAACACGTGAGCCAGGCGTGGCAGAGTGGCAGGCCCGGACAGAGCCGATGCTAATCACGCCTTGGACAAGGGAGAAACCTCCAAGTGTGAGGTGTTCTGTGTGCAGACAAGCACTACTTGCCAGCGAATAAGAAATAAGATAAAAACAAGTGACTTACGAAGCCCCAAACTGAGGTTATTGTGGTATAGACCGGGTAATAACAAACAACTCAAGTATATTTAAATCAAGTCTGAATTAACGTAGCATATCTAAAATATGACACCAGGGCAAAAAGCTGCTATCTCTAGGGTTTGAAGTCCACAACAGAAAATACGGAAATGAGATATTTATCTTGAAAATGCCGGGAAACAGAACAGTGTGCTAGTCCTCACAACCTCCCCCAGGTCCCCAACCACTTCTCTGAGTTGCCCATTCTTTTCTTTTTTTAAATATGCCTTTATTGATTTCAGAGACAGGAAGGGCAGAGAGATAGAAACATGAATGATGAGAGTCATTGATCAGCTGCCTCCCGCAGGCCCCCTGCTGGGCGAGTGCCCTGACCGGGAATCGAACCTTGATCTCCTGGGTCCTAGGCTGACACTCTACCGCTGAGCCACGCCCCACCGGGCTCTGACTAGCCCATTCTTGCACCACTTCAAGTCATTAATGCCTCTCCATTTTTTTTAGACCAAACTGCTGTATTATTTTGAAAGTCTTTTTCAAAATAAGGTGCCATGCTTCTCCTTGGTGCCACCTGGTTCCTGTCAAAAGGTATAACTCTCGCACAAAGAAAACTGTTAGGAACTCTAGGCTCTAGAAAGACTGATACCAGGGCCTCTCGCCACACATTAAATCTAGAATCCTGTCTCTAGAAGCTACTTGTGGCTAACCTCTCAGAAATGAGTCACATCATATAGTAGCTTAGAAGCTTTACCTGGACAATGAGGTTTAGAATTTAGCGAGTTTCCAAGTTGGCAATAAATTGACATCAGCAGGGTAATTTTATCAACCTCCCTTTTCTCGGTATCTAGTCAGAATCTGGCTCAGCTATTTAATCCCCACCGTCAACTTTCTCTTCCAGTTGCTTCCTATCCAGCTGGCAGGAGCTCCCAAGAAAAATGATATAGTAGGCACTGCAGTATACTGGCTGCTTGTTGGGGTTGGAATAGACCTGCTCAGGTTTGAGGGACATGAAAGGGTTGGCTCCATAGGCAATGATGTGTGTATCCAGGTCCACCAGAATCTGCAAAGAGGCTGCCAACTCCTGATAGCTATGGGAGACAGACAAAAAAAAAAATTTGCTCTGTTGATTATGAGATAGGAGAGAAACTGCTCAGAAATGGCCATTTCTGGACTCATCAAGCCCCCAAATTACCTAAGGCTGGACTAGGCAAGGGCTATCCCTCCCTCCCAAGTGCCTCACTAATTACCAATTTACTAACATAGGCCTTTTTTCCAAGGGGACAGAGAAAGCCAAGTGTGAGAAGGAAGGAAATCCTCACCAGAAGGCAGAAGATGAGCTAGGGAGAGAGAAATAAGCTCATCTACATAAACAGAGGTGTGAGTGGGTCAGGGAGGTATCACAAATAGGAGGAGGTAAAAACCTGTAAACAGTAATCAATGTAGGGATCTCATAATCTCGAAACAGCAGTAGGGTGGGCAGCCAAGCCTCCATCAAGTCCGGGGAAGCGTGAAAACCTGTGGAATAGAGAAGAGGAAAGGCTGAGGTGGACCTTAAGCAAGATACTTCTCTGATTGTGTCCACCCTAACCTTCCCCTCGCCCACTGCTGATGCTCATTTACCACTATCGCCCATCCCACGTTCTTCAATGGAAAATTCTGAGCCCAGGCGTAGCCCATATGGCTGATGACCAACACGGTCATCATCATACTGTGTTTAACCTGATCAAATGAACAGGGCTCCAAAGACAGAAGATACGAGAGTCAGAATAGAAACTTCCCAGAGGACCCACCCGGTACTCCCCTGAGCCAATGGCTCTTACCTGGATGGAAGGCCACCACCAAATCTGGACGGGCCGTCTGCCCAGTCTCTACCTGCTCCTCCCAGAAGTTATGATACAGGCCCCTGTGGCCACTAAGCTGAACTGTGCCAGGTTCCACAGGTGAAGCTGAGGTGCTCTGTGAAAAACCAGAAGCAACATCTACACCCACCATTATTATACGGAGGCCATGGTGTCCAGGAAACATGTAACCAAGCTCATCATAGTCCCCGGGGCGAGTGAGAAACGTCTCCGCATGGGAAGCTCCAACTACATGCACTGTGCTTCCTCCAATCTTCTTCACATTTATCCCCAAGGCCCGAAGCCCGAAGCCCAGCGTCAAGGGCCGTGACAGGACATCTGTGAGGAGTCGCTTCAAAGAGCCCTGCAGGTCATCTGGGTCTGGCCTTGGCCTTCCCACACTGGCCCACAGTGTGCTCATGGCATGACTACCTAGCACAGCATCCAGTGTAGCATCTAGCTGTAAACGCCGCATAGAAAACCAGGTGTCCCAGTCCTGTACAACTTCAGCCAGCCATGGCCAAGGTCCCGAGGGTAGGACAAAATCTCCTGCAAGAAAGAAGGAACAAGAAAGAAGTGACCCGATCCTTCCCTGGCTTCAATAATCCTTCTATGTTCACTCTTCCAACCTGTGACCAGAAACGGGCCACTACCCCGCCCCACTTAGTTCCTCGTTTTCCCCTCATAACAACATGCTTTCCTATCTCTCTCCAAGTATAACTAGCTCTGACAATTATGGCAAAGTCCCCCCCCACCGCCACTCCACCTGTGACCAGAAGCCATTCCATGAGACGGTCCACTGCTACAAGACGCAGCTCTTGACAAACCCTCCTGTGTGCTGGCCAATCCGACCTCTGGCACTCGGGACCACAGTAATAGACATTTCTGCACCTGAGAGAATAAGCCCCAGAAATATTTGTTCCTATGCGTCATAGGTGATTGGGAGACTACCTGGGGAAGAGAATCGATAGTCCTGTTCCTAGGAAGAAAGATTACTGGGCAGGGAAGGTAGGGAAAGGAATGATGGCTGATGTACCAAATTTGGGGACTACATTTAGAAGGGGAGGCAGGAGAGACTGGGAATGTAATTTTTCTCCTGGGTCAAAATGACACCTCAGTCTCTTTCTGCAACAACTTAGTTTTTATGTCCCTTAAAGAAAAAATAACTCCAGGAGTTTACGGCTGCCCTCTACTCAGGGGTATGTCTCGATCCCACCCTCCCCGGAACAGATTACGGTCTTACCCCTTGAGTCCTCAAGAGGAGGAAGGTAGAGAGAACAGTACTGTGGGCTCTTCCCCACAACACCAAAAAGAAGCAGGAGCGCAGGCCTCTTCTAACCTTTCTGTGGCCAGGGCCACACAAAAGGCGGAGTAGGCCTTAAGTTATTCTGAAAACGCTCAGGCCTTTCCTCCCACAAGGAGGTCTGAGAACAGGATCATTCCAGGATGTCGCCCCTATTAGCCCCTGACTCGTCACCTCTTGCAGTGCCGGAGGACCTTGGCGTCTGCAAGGCCACTGGGGAGTGCTCTGCAGTGAGCGCAGAATCGGAATGTGTCCTCCATCTTCTGGAACATTTCCCGAGGGCATCGAAATCCAAAGCCTGATGCAGGAGTATCCCCATCTATCACCAACCTGCAGGGAGCATGAGAAAGGACAGCAATAGGAAAAAGATCCCCCAAGTCTCTCATGACCCCTCCTTTGCCTCCCACACACAGGAGTGGGCAAAAGTACGTCTACAGTTGTTCACCCGGAACACGACCTAATACAGTCATTAATGAGTAATGATACGAGACTGAACTCTGGCTTCCTCCCCCCTCTGCCCTCTGCGCTGGAGTCGCTGTCAAGATGCAGACTTCGTGGAAAGCTTCACGGGGAAGACCGTCACTCTCCAGGTTGAACCCCTGGATACAACAGAAGTGTCAAGGCCAAGACCCAGGGTAAGGAAGGAATGCCCCCGAGAGGCAAAGGCTGATCTTCGCTGGCCGGCAGCTGGAGGACGGGTGTCCTCTGTCCCGCCACAGCACGCACAAGGAGCCCGCCCTTCACCTTGTCAGGCTGAAGGGCCGTGCACCACCCCCAGGACGCACGAGCAGGACGAAGGCCAGGCTGCTGTCCTGAAATACCACACAGTGGACGAGAGTGGCAGAATGTCACCGAAGGCGGCAGTGCCCTTCGGATGAATGTGGTCTGGGGTGTTTAGGGCCAGCCACTGTGACAGGTGTTATTGTGGCAAACGTTGTCTGACCTCTTGCTTCAACAAGCGGGAAGACAAGTAATTGCATTGGGGTTAATAAAAGACATGAACTAACATTTAAAAAAAGAAGAAGAAACTCTGTTTTGGATACTCACAACTGTAGACCTACTTTTGCCCACCCATTCCCGTAGGTATTTCCACCTATTCCCATCATTTCTGACTTAAGCAGATTATATATATTTTTTTAACATGCACTTTTTTTAATTGATATTTTTTAGAGAGAGGAAGGGAGAGAAACATTGATGTGAGAGAGAAATATCGATCGGTTGCCCTCTGCATGTGCCCCCAACCAGGTCAAACCCACAACCTAGTGATGAGGCCTGACCGGGAATCGAACCCACCACCTTTTGGTGTACGTACCGGATGACACTCCAATGGAGCCACAACAGCCAGGGCACAAATTATATTTTTTAATTTCTATAGTAATAAACTGGCAAAAGTCAGGATAAGAAAAATCTCCCTTATTGTAGTAAGATACAGTAAAACCTCGATACAACGTACTTATTCGGGTGAGGGAGTGTCCGTTAAAGCCGAAAATCTGTTAGATAATAAAGTAGGTTTTCTGAATGTGTATGTTAAAAAGTTGACATATTAGTTAACCTGTTTTTACTTATGTAGACATGTTTGTGTAATTAAAATTATGTATGAAAATAATTTCACAGAAAAGTTTTCTATGTGTACCACTGTAATTTTAAATTTACAGTGCATAGGTCTAGTAAATGCGTGCATTCACCAGTCACCTCGAGTAAACAAATGCACATGGCTGTGGTGTGGCTTAGCCCAGGTCAGAACATAGGCTCGCAGGCATTGAAACTGCTGCAGAAAGTCACACCACAGTACAACTGAACCAATTACCTCGAGGGATGCAGTGTGATCACGTGCTAATCATTCGCCCAACACTGTTCACGAGCAGTGGCTCTTGGATTTAGATATGTAGACTATCGTTGTAGATATGTAATATTTATTTATGTTGGTGAAATTACTACAGTGTTTTTTCCAACATATGGCTTATTTGCTAAAATTTGTTAAAAATAACAGTGAATTAATAACAAAAAAAAACCCCTATTAATTTAATTATAAGCAAATCTTGGTTAAAAGCATTTTAAAAATAACAGTGTTAACTTTCACATATGACATACAGATCAGAAATTTTGTCCGTTAAATCTGAAGTCCGTTAAATCGAGGTCAGCAAAATTGAGGGTGTACTGTACCCAATTAGTCCCAAGCTATACTCTCTCTCAACCTTCTGAAATCACTTCTACCAGAGACAATGTACAGCTCTTCCAGAGCTAGTCACTCACTTGTATTCTTCGTAGCTTTTCATGTTGAGCTTTTGAAGAATCAGCTGGGATAGGCCAGGAACATTACTCTCCAAGGAGTAGAAGCCAAGGGCATCAATGCTAGGGCCAGGTTTTGAGAGGGTCAGAGGCACAGGGGCCACGGCTGTGGGAGGGGTCACGGCTTCGGGAGGGGTCATAGCTGCGGGAGCCACTGTTGAGGGAGACTTCTTGTGCCTCCGTCGCCGGGGCCGTGGAGCCATGGCCTGTCCCCTGATACCTGGGGACTGTATGTAGAAAAGATACAGAATGGAATTTTGCAAGCTGGATACATATGAGGTGTTTTCATGCCTGACCTTTCACTTCTCATTCTAGTCTCTCACACTTAGGTATCAATAAGATTTATTTCTTATCTACTGTTTATTGATCGCCACAGGCAGCTGTGAAAAACAGAGGGGAAACATTACATATGAAGTTCTTTATAAAATCTAAATATATATGTAGGTAATTCATAGAAAAAGGTCTGGCAGGGCTCATCTAAAACCAGTAGCAGTGATTAACTGAGGGGAAGAGGCACTAGGAGAGGAACTGAGTGGATTAAAGGGGACTTTAGACTTAACTGTAATGTTTGGCTTTTTTACAAAAAATATAAATATAAATATACAAAAAATATATTTATATATTATTAGTGTATTTCAAAAATCAACTTAAGCCCGGTGGGGCAGGGCTCAGAGGTTGAGCGTCCACCTAGGATCCAGGCAATCAGGGTTCGAGTCCCGGTCAGGGCACATGCCCGGGTTGTGGGCTCAATCCCCAGATCAATGACTCTCTCTTCATTGATATTTCTGTCTCTCTCTCTCTCTCTCTATCTCTCTCTCTCCTTTCCTCTCTCTGAAATCAATAAAGATATATTTTAAAAAAAAATCAACTTAAAAGAGAGGGAAAAGCAACAGAAGTTTTAGCTGTCCATAACTACCATCTAACTGAGGAAGTCAATCCAATTTAGCTGGGAAAGTAAAACATTCATTTTAAAAGACCTATCATCACATTTATAAGCAATAAACCAAGAAGGGAAAATTAAATGCAATACAAAAGGAGCACCATAATGCTAAGAGTTAGGTAGTCAAAGCAAATTATGCAAACTGTGAGAAAAATTTCCTAAGGAGGTGAGTTTTGAAGTAGAGGTAACCGCACCC